TTTCTTTCTTTCTTTCTTTCTTTCTTTCTTTCTTTCTTTCTTTCTTTTTTTTTAAGCAAGAAAAACAGTTATTTTATGATTTCTGTACGTGGTGATAGCAGTGACAACAACCATGAGATGGCAATTAAAGGACATGCTGGGTTGCAGTACAGCCAACAAAATGCTCCCAAGCTCCTGATCTCCATGGAGAGCAGGTAGGATAGCTCAGATTATGAGCAGTCACCTGCCTCTGAGTGGCAAATGTGAACTTTTTGTGCCCACTGCAATTATTCAGGAGGTTCTTGGAGAGGTACTAATTGCAAACAAATCCCAAGAGAAGCAACCATGTTGAATTCAGGTCTGGGAAATGGGGAAATCTCTGCAGCTGCAATGTAGGTAGCTCTATGGCAGCTTCTTGGACTCCTACCAAACTTGCTGGAGGGTGAGGCACAGAGGAGAGCTTCTCACCCAACGTGGAAATTGATGCAGAAGTGCCAAGTCTTGGGGCAAGGACAAGAAGCATGGGTTACCTGTGAGCCTGTGGAATATCTTCCAGGTGTCCGTGACCCCGAGGTTTTTCCTGAGCCAATAGAGCTCTCTGTACTTTTCCCACTACAGCAATGTGTGCGCAGGCATTTTCCGTATTCTTTACGTACCTAGCCAAGGAAACAGTAATGGTGGTTAGTGGGCAGCTCCTCCTCCACCCCACAGCCTTAAAATTGTCAACATGGCTGCTGATTTTTCCTTGGTGGTTCATTAAAATGATAGCTATTGTGGGAAATGAGCCTATTTTACACCTTGCAGCTGACTGCTCCTGCAGTGTTAGCTCACCATTTACGAGGGCGTAAGGGACTGCTTTTATCTGGCAAAGCTGCTCATTGACACCAGTCAGTTGTAGCTACCTCTGAGGCACATCAAAGGAGCACTGCAGAAACTACAGATACACTATTTATGACTGAAAATTAATATCCTCATAGATTTGATGTAAACTGGCATATTGGCTCATCAAGGTACTAAAAGTTATTGCTTCTGGCAAGGGACTAAAAAGAAAGATTCCAGAAGAAACATATAAGAGCTATTGATTTAAAAAAAAAAAAATATATATATATATATATATATATATATATATATATATATATATATATATTTCTTGCAGTTAAACTGAAATTTGAGGAAACTGTACAGCCAGTAGCCCTAGAGACTGTATTGTCAGTCTGTAGGGGCAGCTAGAGCCTGCTTCTCCACAGCACTGTGCCGGGCATGTTTTAAATGGGCACTGCAGGCAAACCCGGACACCTCTTCACCTGCAGGAAAGCAATGTCACCTTCATGGGAACTGTGCTGAGCTGTGCCAGGGCAGGAGCTGGGCTTTGGCTGAGCTTCATGTCTGCGTATGTGTGATTTTAATAGGCAACAACACCCGGAAAGTAAATGGGGCTAGGCTGAAAATGAACACGTTGCAGAGAAAAACCAAACGCAGGTCATGTTGCCCATTGATGAAAAAAAAATAATACACACATGAACTAAAACACCAGTTGTGATTACTTGGAGCACACAGTTAGCTGCAAGATGTCTCTAGACCATCTACGAGCATTTGAAAACTCTGCAGAACAACTGTTTAAACAGCAAATTACAGCTTTTTCATTAGGCTTTTCCTTAAGAGCCTGAGACAAACACAATACCACGAGTGCCCAATACACTCGAGTGCCTAATCAATCCTTTGCTGAGGGAAAATAATTCAATTGCTTTAATTAGCCACCCACTGCTTGCCTCTCTGCAGCTTTCTGCTGATTTTCTAGCCCATGATAGATAGGATTTTTTTTTCCCCCTTTCAAACCATTCCTCTTTCAGCTCTCGGATCAGAGAGATGCACCCCCCCACAGCCAGCTACTGGTTGCACTCTCCTCTCCTCTATGCAGTTGTAAATCAGGAGCAACCCCAAAGGCATCAGTGGTGGTTTAAGAGCATAGACTGGCTTGAGGCAGAATGGCAGAAGGGATTTGAATGCCTACTGAACACCCTAGGAGAGTACAGTGCCATGACAGGATGCTGTGCTGGAGACTGAGGCAGCTTAGTTACATTGACAGATTGGGACTCAGATGTATCCACATGTAAACTCTTCTATATGCTTATCTTGGATATAGAGTTTGGCCTGTGAAACCAAGATGTACATCAACAATTATCAGTAGGTTTGCACAGACCGAGAGAGATGTGCACTACTGAGTTCCAGTGGAGAATAAAATGGTTCTTAAAAATATTTATTACTGACTGTCAAAGTTTGTAAATTTGATCTACATATGCATGAGGAGATTTTTATTTCTCTTTTTCCAACTGGGGTTTACCTAAGTTATTCCACTGTTACCTCGCAATGTTAATTGGGGCATATTTCAAGTTCCACCAAGAAGTACTTACTGTGCAAGGAAGATTTTCAAAAACCCACATTACAACCAAGCTATGCAAAAGCTAGTGAACTGTTGCAGAGCGTGGCTCCTTCTGCTCTTAAAAAAGTGGGAGAAGCAGCCTGTTCCATACTTTCTCCAATATATACTACTACAGAAAGGGGCTGTTTCCTGCAAGGACTGCAAATGAAGATGTATAGCCCCATTTTGCTGTGACACACAAGGACCCTCTGGATGCTTGTGGTGCTACTTACGCCTCACATTGGTGTAAGGAAAAGGAGAATCTGGCCAACAGCAGGCAGAGCCCTTTTGCAGGTTTGCTATCGCAAAGCCCTGCAAAGCACGAGTTGTCTTGTGCGCTGCCTCCAATGTGCTCACCGCTAGCACCCTGGCTGCTGAAATGCCATTGCCACATATCTTCGTTATCACCTCACTCCCCTGCCAGTTTCCACTCTAACTACCACCCCTATTAGGCACACCGAGACAAATCTGCTCGATCTGAATTCAGGGCACATGCGCCAACACTATGCTGTGGTTGTTAGGCAACAAAACACACTGTTACCACCGCTTGTGCCGCTGAGAACAGTCTGTCTTACCTTTTTCTGGAGGACACAATGGAAAATGAATATAAACATTCCCTGCAGAGAATTGAATATGGTGAAGAGATACGCCATGATGACTGTGCTTTCATTAATATACATGAGTCCAAATGCCCAGGTCAGTCCTAATAAGCAGAGCAGGGCTATCGCACCTATCACCCAGGACCTGTTAGAAGGAACAAAAAAAAAAAAGAAAGAAAAGGATTGGTCTTTCATCTATAAAATATGGCACATGTCTGCAAACAGGGAGAGCTTTGGCCATGGTTTTAGCAAAAAGAAAACAGCACATCAAAGTGAGCTGTAGGGACTTTTGTCTTCAGTTGGATGCAGTTTACAAGTCTTGGAGCTTGAGTAAATATACGAAAATGGAAATGTTATGAGAATGGAAATTCATCATAACCAAAGCGTCTGCAGTGTTTCTGGCTTTTTTTCCCCATTTGTTTAATGTAAAAGCAGTGTTTATGTATATGACACAATGTAGATGCCGTTTCTGTAAATGGCAGGAAAAAAAGAAAATAAACCAACCAAAACAACTATGAATGTCACTTTTTTAATGGCCACTGGTTTGCCTGGGGCAGGAGCGCTAGCTGGATTAGCTTCTTTACAACTACCACCAAGACACATTTACTGCTGCCCTTTAGCTGGTCTCCCATAAGAGAGCCAGCCAAATTACAACAAGCAGGTACTTGCCAGATCAGCTCCTTGCAAGGATGCTCTCTGACACTGCTTCACACTGCTCTATGGTGAAGGAAAATACAGACACGCGTATATGTGCCCACACACCATGTCTTCTCCAACAGCAAACTCTGTCCCAGCAAGCTTCTGCAAGGACAGACAGCATCTAACTGTCTTTCCACTGAGAGAAATGGTGCCTCTCTACTCCTCGGAGAGGCCAAGGACAACCAGAGGACCTGGGCCATGGGATTGCTGTTGCATATCATTTTTTCAGTTGGATTTTAGGCAGGCTGGGAGGGCAGGGGAAACATTCCACATTTCCCCGCTAAATAAAGTTAATCATGTGCTAAATTGACTTCTCAGAGGCTGATCTTCCAATATCAGAAAAAGAGGTAGTGTGGAAAGCAGCATGGGGGCAGACTGGGGACCGGCTCCTGCTCCTAACCACCAACCTCAATTTCCAAGTTCTTATTTATCTTGACTTTATGAGAATGGCTGCCACATAGGGGAGAGAACCAGCTACCAGCTGGGAGACACAGCTGCACAGCAAGCAGCACTGTGAGCATCCCTTTGACCTTTCCTTCACGATTCTTTCCTCTTCCCTAGAAACAAGCAGGTACTGCATCATAAAAATGAATGAAATAATACCAATCAGTGATGCCTACTTCTGCACCCCTTCCTCACCATTAACCCGTTGGTTCTCCAGAGCAGATAAGTCTGCAGCCAGCCAATATCTCTGTTTCTTTGACTGCCTGAAGCAGCTCTAGCTGCTACCAAAGGCTCATGGAACAATCTGCCTGTGTTTTGGTTAACTGAGATGCTCCAGCCCCACAGAAACATGAATGGGGCCTGGGAGTATCTGGGTTGCTCTCTCCTAGGCAGGGCATGGGGTAGGAGAGAGAAAGATGAAGCAGCAATAGCTCAGAGGAAAAAGCCCAGTGCAGGGCAGACTGACAGTCTCCCCTGTTGAGACTCCACAGCACCTGCAGCTGTGAATCCCCTTGCTTTTAGCAGGGCTTGTTGCAAACAGAAGCACACTGCTGTTCTATTAATGTTTACTGTTGTTTTTCTTTAGGTATTAGAATGAAAATACAGCAATATTCCTTCCACTGGAGTTTATAAAATATGTATTTTCTGAGCACATGGCCAGAAGAGCTCCCCAAGGTAACTGCTTACTTAAGCAGTTCTTTAAAAATCACTATTATGTATCTATCAGACCAGAACAGTTCCTTTGAAGCATTTCCAGCCAATCCCGCTAATAAATATTTAGCATGATGCAAATTGAAAAGGCATTCTCAAAATCCTTTGGTAAGGTAGACACTAGATAACATTTACAGCATTCACCACTTGGTATATTTTTCTCCCTGAGATTCCACCATCAGTGAGAGCACATTATAATTTTAATGGTATGCCAATTTTAAAAATACAAATCTTTTTATGTTATTGATTAAAAAAAAAAAAAACCCACAAAACAAAAAAACACCAAAAACAAATGAAGTGAAAAATACTGTTTTTTTTTTCCTCTCCCTTCTCTTTCTCACCATGATCAAAAGGTTCCTCCAATTACAAAGACTTCTAAAAACGATCCACAGAATATCAGGAAACTATACTGCCCTGCACTGCAGCCAACTCTTGAACCTGATTAAAGAGCCTTAGGCTGCAGATGTGTGAAACAGTTATTGTGCAATGAGAGTGGAAATATGCTACCTTTAGTGATGGAAAGGAATCTTTGGGTTAGAAGACCCTCAACAGTGCAAACTGTACGAGATACAGGATTGTGCTTCAGAAAACAGACCTGGAGATAAAGAGGGCATGGAGATTACTTTGAATGGCTCCATCCCGTGCCCGCAAAAAAAAAGGAATCAAGAAATGAAAGAGAATATGGGAATGATGCTGCAGGAATGAACACAAAGGACTCTTCACCAGAAGAACAAACTGAAAGTCTACTGCAAAGTTGGTCAGCTTTTATTCTGTGTTACTGTGCTTTGCTTTTTGGTTGCAAGAGAGAAAGCACGGATGCCCTAAGGCATGTAATTTCTGAGCATTTTTGGCTTGCTTTGCAGGATTTTTTTTTGGTGTGGCTTGTTTGTGATTTTTGTTTTTCTTTGTACAGACTTGCTGTTGGTTTTCCACAATTTCTCTTTTCCATAGTGCAATTTTGTAACAATAAAGAAACAAACATATAATGTTTTGGTATAATTGAAAATTAGAGACAATTGGGTACTCCACTGTGGAAGGAGATTATCCTCTGAATACAGATTAGTTTGCACTGCACCCATCAGCCAGAATGGGAATCACATGGGTTATCACTCATGCTCTTTTCTGAAAATTTTCTTCTGTATTTACATTACCACAAAGCACCCTCAGTGCTGGAGCACAGTGGACCAGAAGGTTGCTATTGGTATAACAAGTCTGTATTAAACACCATTTCTTCAGAATATTGAATATACTTGAATTCAAGTAACTCCCAATCAAAGAATATACAGCCAATATAGTAGCAATTGGTTGGCAATACATATGCAGAACATTAACTCTGCACGTTAGCTGTATGCCTGGCCATTTTTCTGCACAGTTTGCTCTTCTGCCTCAAATGCGAATGACAGAAGCTTTAATGATTTTTCAATATTGATCTGACAGCTGGTTCATGGGACCACACTGATAAATGAAATTTATCAGCCATTCAGGTCATTCTTACTTGATGAAGGGTCTGTTATCCTCATAGCTAAAGAATGCATAGACATAAAGACAAGAACACCAACATTAGAAATATAATGACATATAGAGAATATAGCTTGCTGCTCAGCCCCCCTCCCTTCTCCCATCAGCCACCACCAAAACAAAAGCAAAGAGCATCAAGTGTCATTAGGTATGCTTGCTACATGCGAGCCAGTCTGACTCGCTGCCCTGTGACCGAGTAAGGCTTTGCACATGGAAGCGAGCATGACCAGCTGCGAGCTGCAGCCAGCCCCTCCTTGACTTGGCTCTGACACTGGTCATGCAACTGTCAATTGACTGAAATCTCTGATAAAAAGCCTGGCTCTCACTGAAAAAGACTACCTTTGGAATTCCAGTATAGCTACACAGAAAGCTTGCACACATCCTTGAAGATAAAATCTCACTGCACTTTCAGTACTCTCCACCTGATACGCTGTAGTGTGTTACTGGAACCTCCTTACTGCTCTTTTTCATAAGCATAATTCCCAACATACTAGTCAGACTACAGCATTATCTTCCTTTTGAGAGAATGGTTTCAAGATCTGCCAGTCCCAGCCTCAACCTGGCATGGTCACCCACAGTTTTTTTTTGCCCCATTTTTGCCTCACCAAGTCTCTTCAGTGAACTGCAATAGCTTTTCTTCAAGGCTCTGTTTTATCTTCGTACAGGGGAGAAATGTGAAGTCGGTAAACTCAGGTTGCTTTTTAGCTTGAGGTTAACGCTGGGGAGAACTGTCAAAAACACCCAAGCAGTTTGAGCACCATTTCCAACCCATCTGGATGTGGTTGTGCCTAGGAAAGTGCCCAAAGCAAGTGGATGCTTGAACAAGTGAGATATTCAAACACCCAACTCCCAAGCACTTCAAATCCCTACATGCATGGCCTGTAAGACTTAGTCTCTTACATCTCTTACGAAATACACATCTTTCCTTTTCATTTTACCAACTGAAGTGTTGTAAGAAGCTTAACTCTTGTGTTAGCAACAATTCCAGTCTCAAAAAATTACTCCAGAGTGTTTTTTTCCAGGTAAAGTCTGTGAAATCTATCAGTGCTGCATTAATACTGTGTCATTATCTGCAGTACATAAAAACCATCTCTTAGACAAGAAAAAAGCCTTGGAACAGTCTTAGCTCAGGGGAAAATGTAGCTGCTTATTGAAAAACTGAGATTATATTTACAAACAGTGCACGCAAATAATAGCTGAAGCATAAATCCTTGGAAAACCTAAGCTAATGCAGTCAGAGAGGCTGGAGCTACCATGGGTTCTCCAGAACTGATTTGCATGAATTCTTCCCAATTCCTGGAAGTAACCAAGGGATTCAACCCATTTAATTTGAACTAAGCAGCTCTGATTCCTGGAAACTGGCACCCACAAAAAGCAATTTGTCTCATATAAGAACGGGTACTTATAGCAGGTGAATCTTTGTCGCTCCCTGAAGAAACACATTTCTCTAATAATTACGGAGGAAATCTGAAGGATTGCTTAGGCGAGGGCTTTACTTTCAAATGCCTGAAATTAAAAAGCTGATCTTTAGTGACTGTATTATTTCTGTAACCCTGAAAATCCTACTTTACCCCCTTGTGTTTCTTTGCAATCTAGATGATGGATAGTGGATGGTCTACCAAACCATATAAATACGGAATCCATTTTCTAATCTTAAAAAAGCCCTGACTTTACCTTGGGGAAAAGACTTCTTAGTGTTAATTACACATCATGTGAAATTCTTTCAAAATCTTATTTAAGTTAGATGTCTTTCAATTTCTGAAAGTACTTTCT